GGTGTTGGCAAAAGCAAACATTCCGATTTTATAGTTTGACTGTATGGTGTGCTGTGGTCGTTGCCATCAGCGTTTTTTATTTTTTTTTCCCCCTCCGTCACTGTCAAAGGTTAAAACAAGGTTGACAAAGGTATTTGTCGATTTGCCGCACGCATCAAAAGAATACTATAATCATGTGGAAGCATTTATGAGGACACTCCCTCGACAAGTCATTACTTTAACGTGTGTTTGGGTGTCAGTCATCTTTGAACCTCTCCGCTCGGCTTTTTCCACCGGTTGAAACGTCTGATCTGATCTGCACCATTCAAACTCAAACCGTATTAAATATTCCAGAAAGGTGCTGTTTATTTATTTATTTTTTTTAAAGATAGGATTATTTCTGCGTCAATTATTAATACTCATTTAAAGGTAAATTTAGGTGATGTTTAATTGAGCAGGTCAATCCCGGCGTAGGACCCCCATCTGATGTGCTTCCCCCGCCCGGAGGCTCAGAGGATTATGCAGATTTTTTTTCATCAATATTTCAGCGCTTATATTAACATTAGCCCCCTTCAATGCCGCGCTCAACGGGAAAGGTCACGTGATGTCGGGACGTCGCACAAGGGGGCTCGCTTCCTGAGGACATCGTAGGAATACGGCCCGATATTGGTTCATGGAATGTCGATTTGTTGCGAATTGTCATAGGAAAGTCTGTGATTGCTGACCCACGTTCAAATCAAATGCGTCGCAGTTCTTCGGCGTTTGAATGTGCTGTTTGGCCACCTGAAGGTTTTCGGGGAGTGCCAAGAAATGTGACTCAGTAGAGAGCAGACCTCTGACAGCTTTGAGATGTTATCTGTTGTGTTACTTAGTTACACTAAACCACTACCATCTACCCCGCCCCCCCCCCAACTAAATACTCAACCCAAACCTTAATTCAGCCCAAAATGATTTACCGCCACCCCCAGGCGTTTCTTTCCCTCTCTTTTATTTATGTATTTATTTTCAGTTTGTTTCAAGAGGGATGGCGGCTTGGAGAAACAGCTGTGAGCAGCGATGTGTGGTGTGGTTAGCTTCGTGACTGGTTAGCCACTAGTTGTCTGGAGTTGGATATCAAAATATGAACCCAAAATATAAAATTCAGCAAATATGTTCGGCTGTTGAACGTCAGCATGTGCGGAACATGTGTGATCCAACCCGTTTATTAGCGAAAGAAAGACAAACGGCAACGTTTCTTGTGTGTGGGCGCGCGCCCGCCAACTGCCTGAGTCGGCAATGGATGTGCGCGTCCCGTCACTGGGCGGCACGGAACGTGCAGTGCTTTACGTCACTTCCTGTCCATGTTTTTGAACGGGAAATGTGCACGTTCAGATTTTTTTTTTTTTTTTTTGATGATCAAATTGTTGGACTATAAAAGAATCAATGGAAATCATGCAGCATCGAACAAAAAATGGAATATAATGTAAAGGAATGATAAGGGTTAAAAAAAGTTTACCCTTCACATGGAGAGAACGACCAGCAGGGGGCGATGTGGCACCGCTTCACTTCCCCACTATGACCGCACATCCTGGCTTGTGACGTTTTGGCATACTTGGCGTGCAGAAGCGACGATCAGGGACGAACTTCAGCGCCCTATTCTCCACAAGTGAGTTAGCCAGCCTATTAATTTGGGGATTTTGAATGACAGACAGGACAAATATTATTTCAATGTTTTGAGTGAGTCGGTTTTCTTGAAAAGATAAGATAACCTTTATTTGTCCCACACTGGTGAAATTTGCAAAAAAAAAACATGCACAAAATACATTCCTGCACTTAATGTTGCCGTGCTGTTCCGCAGTTTTGTGCCATCTTTGAATGGGAGTATTTTATGCACTCCATGAATAAAGTTGTGTAGTGACGAGAGGGGTTGAGTATTGTATGAATTCTTGTTACTTTCACAACATTCAACTTGCTTTTCAGCGCTTCGCGCTCGCATCCAAAGCGTGTCCTCCCTGCACTCTGGCCCTGGAACATTTCCACCCATTTGCAAGGATGCAAAGTGAGCAGATTTCTCACATGCGTAAAGACCGGAGCCAAACGAATAACATTTGTCAGATGAAGCACCTGCCAGTTGGGATTTTGGCTTTTGAGAATGCGGGGGGGGATGAGCGCAGCGTCTAACCCTTGGAGACCAACTCGCTCGGCTCGCGTTCATTTTGACTTTGACGTTACGTTGACTGACAGCCAGATTACATCCACCTGTTTCAGGCTGCCTGGTGTTATTAAACACAACGCGTTGTGGATATCTAGCAGAGAGAGTGTGTTGGTTAGCGTGCGTGCGACGTTACTCAATACCACCTGGCTCCCGTGCCAATTTTACTCTGGAAGCTTTTTCACACGAACTCTCACTTCCCTGACATGTTACGTCAAAGGAAAAAAAAACGTCAAAAGATTTTTCTACAAAGCACCTGAAGACCGACCGTGTTGCAATTTGAGTTGCAAAACGGTCAACATTTCCAGGAACTTTCCCAGAATCATCCAGCTATCCATTTTCGAATCCGCTTATCCTCACAAGGTTTGCGGGCGTCACATCTGTCTTCGGACACTCTGACAAAAGCCTGTGTTACTGTTCCAACAGCCCTTAATGTTACAGCGTCTTACAATAATAAAATGTTTTTTTTTTAATGAACACTTAGGACTCCTGCGCTACTGTGTTTTCATGGCATGCAACTCATTGATGAATGTGCAGCACGGTTACTGCAAGTGCTGACTCAGAGCTGACAGCATTATGAGCATTCATGGAACTCCCACGCACCCCAACACTCCAAACCCTTCGGTTACCGTGGCAACGCACACACCGGATGAAGGGCAACACTTCAAGGTGTGTTGAGAGAGAGTTTCATTCCCGCAGAGCAGGCCTTTGAACCGTGACTCCGATTCGACAATGTCAGCAAGATAAGGGAATTCCCTCCCGAGGGCCCCACCCCACCCCCTGCAGTCACCATGGCAACCGGCAGACAAACAGCAGGCCCGAGAGTCAGGCAGCGTGCCAGAGGACTCCCAGGAAGTCCTCAGGGTTCCCTGGGGCACTTCTTCACCTTCTTGTTGTTGTTGTTGTTGTTGCTATAGAAGTGGCGAGCGTACAGGTGAGAGCAGGTTCCTTCTTACAACTTGACAGGGATATAAATAGAAACGGCAGCCTTGATTCGCATGGCTCACTGAGGTCACAGCTCATGTGACTTTTTTTGGTATTTTTTTTTTCCATAACACAAATCATTAGTGGCTGCCATGTTTGCATTGTCAACTACCGTAGAACAACATAGCAACTGCTCATTGGCATTCATCACAACGTGAACTGCGCTGAAGAGACTCGTGGGAAATTGGAAATACTGTTTTGGCCATTTCTATCCTTTTTCAATGTACAACTGCACAATCGGTAATGATCTTTGTTTCACGTTGAAGACTTTTTGGGGGATGAATTGTAACCGTAAAATGTTTTTTTTCCCTCTGATGTAGTTTTCATCCTTAGTTTATTTTTATTTTCTATCAAGTACATTTTCCATTCAGTAGATTGATTAGATAGCTTTTTACCTAAATCTTCAACCACCCAATCAGGTTAGTCACTTTTTAACTTACTTTTCCCTCAACTTTCATTTAGGTAGTTGGTTAGCTTTACCATTATAATGTTATATTGGCCTACATTTTGTTTATTTATCCTTTTTAAAATTCCATTTTATACTTCTCTCTCCCTTTCAGATCAACCAAAAATAACAACAAAGAACAAAAGAAGCGCGGAAAAACAAAAAGCGCGCAATGACGTCACGGCGGTTACATTCACTTCTTTGATGGAATGAAGTGAATTTGAAGCCTTTTGGCGAACATCAAACGAACGTGTGGCGTGCTGGCATCCCGCAGACATTTTTCTGCGTCCTTCCTGACCCTTGAAGACTGCACGATCGTGCGTGTGCGTGTGTGTTATGTATCGAGTGTGCACATGGTGTAGTCGTGGCCGCCAGGGAGCCGTGAGGCGTGCAGCCGCGAGCTGCAAACACAAAGCAGCGCCATCTGCACGCCTGGAGCACTTCCAATGTCAACAACACGCACACACGCACATGCACATGAAATGGGGTATGCGTGTGTGTGCATGAGAGAGAGAGTGTGTATATGTGACAGCAAGGTTGCAATGAGTAACAGCCTGTCGTTGCCATGGCGCCCGAAGCGCATCTGAAATACTTCTTAGTTTTCATCAGGGACAGCGCCAGGGTTTTTTTTTTCTGTCCCGCGGGTAAAGTGGGGCTTGACCGACACATTGGGGGTGAGAAAAGAATTCATAAATATATATTTTTTTGAATTTTACAATCAAAAACATGCTAGTTTAACAAGAAAGTGGTCATTAAAAAGGAAAATGGGGGAGTAGAAAAAGTGGGAAAATAAACTCGTGAAAATAAAGTAATTTTACTAGGAAAAGGTGTTCGGAAAAAATGGGAAAAATGGAGAAAAACAAAAGAAATAAGAGTCAGGTCGCAAGAAGTAGAGTGAGTTAAAATGCTTTGTCTTGTTCTACCTTTTGTAGAACAATAATTTTGAAAAAAAGTTTTTAATCCCAACGAGTTTGTCCCCTTTCAGCGCAGGTGTCTGTCTGATGTACTCTGGCTCCATCAAGTGACCATTAGAAATATTACATGTCACAACATCATTACTGTACTGGACGACATTGTAGACTGGAGTCTCCATGAAAAGTATTTTTTTTAATATGACTTTTGTGACGATTTCATGATATGTGATTCAATCTTTGGTATTTACAAACCGAATACCAATTAATTATACCATATGACGTCCACTCTCAGCGATATCTATTGATTACGGTACCTGTATTTTAAAATCAAATCAACAAGGCTGACCTCTCCTTTCTTCTGCTGCAGCTGCTGCTGTTGCATCTTCGCGTCTCTGCAAAGCACCGCGTGAGGCATCCTGCCAGCATCACAGCCTCCGTCAACGAGGCGTGACTTTACGTGTGTAAAATCTGTCATTGGCGTGCGCGCGCGCGCACACACACACACACACGCACACACACTTTGTCGAGTGAGTTTTGGAGTGAGCGAACTGGTTTTTCGGGGGAAATTCAACGCGGAACACAGAGAACGTGAACACACAGCAAGTGCGTCGCTCGCCAGACATCTACCTTTAAAAGGTCCGTATATTTTTTAATATCCTTAGCTTTTTTTAATAAATCACATTAGGTGTCATTATTACGACTACTACTGGTATTAAGAAGAGCTGGAATAAAAATAAACAGGGGTGGTCAAACACCCCACCCACCCACACTTCCCCATTGGACGATTCTACAGGTGGTAAGGATCTACATCCGCGGTAAAAAGTAGGGCGTTGCCGTTGCGTTTGAGTGTCTGCGCTGAGCACGTGTCTTGTGCAAGTGACATCTCGGCAGCAGTGCCTCAGCTTGTTGGGTTCTCTTTCGTTATAAAGAAGCAAAGGCTGCTCTGAGAGGACAAAAATGGAGGCGATGATGAAGGGACTGAACAAAGCCAAGGAAGGAGTGGTGGTAGCGGCGACCAAGACCAAGCAAGGAGTGAGTGGCGCGGCTGAGATCACTAAAGACGGAGTCCTCTACGTCGGTGGGTCCCCCACTTAATATCGGCTCATTGATCAGCTCATTGTTGTTGCGTTTATTCATCGCCATCACGTACTGGACAAGGTTTTTTGTTTGTTCGGTTTTTTTTTTTTTTTTACGATTTCAAATGAGGTTTCCACTTTACAAATCGCCATTTAACCTTGAAAAATTGACAATTGTTAGACCATATTATTTAATTCTAATATACAGTAAATGTCATTGATCAAGGGTAGGCGTATCAGTGGGAGATGGTAGACTTCAAATATGTTTAAATTTTTAAACAGTAGTATTTAATTGTCGATTTTTATATCCCAGTTTTATTAATTTTTCAACGCTTTGACTCCTTTTAACCTTGATGAGCTGATGCAAGAATGTCAGTAAATTTTACCGAACTTATTTATTATTAGGAGCATTAGCATTACAGCTTGTAACCAACACTGATTAAAACATTTGTGAATTTAAAAAAATCGATTTTAAATTCAGTTTGAGAACATTTATGTTCGTAATTAATAATTATTTCATTTCCATTAGATGACTCTGTATCGTAAGGCATTTTTCTTTTTAAAAGACAAGCATTAATAGTAAGGCTTTTTTTTAAAAAAAGACAAGCGTGTGTAGTAAGGTGTTTTTTTTGAAAGACAAGCATGTATCATAAGGCGTTTTTTTTTTCTTTTAAAGATGACCATGTATAGTGAGACGTATTTCTTTTAAACAGACAAGCATGTATAGTAAGGCAATGAAACAAAAAATCATGTATAGTAAGGCTATTTTTTTAAAGATGACCATGTACAGTAAGGCGTTTTTTTGTGAAGACGACCATGTATAGTAAGGCATATTTAGCTGAAAAAAACCAACCATGTATAGGGAGGCGTTTTTAGCTGAAAAAATATCGACCATGTATAGTAAGCCAATTTTAACCCCGAAGAACAACCATGTGTACTCAGGTGTTTTTTGCCGAAAAAACCATGGATAGAAAGGCGTTTTTAGACCCCAAAAATGACCATGTATAGTAAGCCGTTTTTAGCCGAAAAAAACGACCATGAATAG